GGTGTGCAGTTTATGCTCACCAAAGAGAGGGAAAATTAGATCCTAGGTCTATAAAGTGCATCTTTCTTAGTTATCTCGAGGGAGTTAAAAGATATAGACTATGCTTAAGAAGTGGTTCACAGTACAAAGTAATTATCAGTAGAGATGTTGTGTTCAATGAGTTTTATATGCCTTATTTAAAATTAGAAAAAGATACTGCTCCCAGTGTCTTTGATGCAGGAATAGGTGCATTACCATCCTAAGAATTACAATTTGAGGTGGAACATTCTAAAGAGCAAACTGACATTCCATCGATAGGCAGTGAAGAAACTCATGAACAAAACACTCAATTGAATGATCAAAATGAAGAAGTTAGTGAACCGGCACAAGAGGAACAACCCATATCAATCCAGAATTTAGATCAATATCAATTGACAAGGGATAGGCCAAGGAGAAATATTAGACCACTTCAGAGATATGATGTAGGGAACTTAATAGCGTTTTCCTTTAACACTACCGAAGAGGTGGAAACTGAAGAACCAAAGAGTTTCACGGAAGCTGTAAATGGTCCACATGCAAACCAATGGAGAGCAACTATGGAGGAAGAAATGCAATCTTTGAGAAAGAATAATACTTGGGTTCTAGTAAACAAACCCAAGTATCAAAAAATAATGGACTGCAAATGGGTATTCAAAATCAAGGAAGGCATGACATCAAAAGATCCAAAGAGGTTTAAGGCAAGATTAGTTACCAAGGGGTTTACGTAAGTAGAAGGTGTTGACTACACCAAAATTTTCTCTCCTGTAGTAAAATACAAGACCATAAGAACCATTTTAGCATTAGTGGCTCATGAAGATTAGGAACTATAACAAATGGATGTGAAGACTGCTTTCATCCATGGAGATTTGAAGGAAACAATTTATATGTCTCAACCACCGGGGCTTGAGGTTAAAGGAAAGGAAAAACAAGTCTGTCTCTTGAAAAAGTCATTATATGGCCTTAAGCAGTCTCCACGCCAATGGTATAAGAGGTTTGATCACTATGTCACTCAAATTGGTTTTACTAGGAGTCATTATGATTCATGTTTATATTTTAAAGATATTGGTACTATGTCTGCAGTATATCTTTTACTATATGTAGATGATATGCTCATTACTAGTGCTAGTATTAAGGTTGTTAAGAAAGTAAAAGGTCTCTTAAGTTCTGAGTTTGATATGAAAGACCTAGGTAATGTTAAGAGGATTTTGGGTATTGACATCAAAAGAGATAGGCAACACAAGGTTTTATACTTGTCACGGGAAGATTACCTTAGGAAAGTGATCAGGAAGTTCTCAATGGAGAATTCTAAGAGTGTTAAAGTCCCTCTTGCAGGACATTTTAAGCTCTCAGCCGAGCAATCTTCCTCAATTGAGGAAGATAAGATTAAAATGGCTAAAATACCATATGCTAGTGCTGTAGGGTCACTCATGTACTTCATGATCTATACTAGACATGATTTAGCCTATTTTGTGAGTGTATGGCAAATCCAGGTCCGGATCATTGGTTAGCTATGAAGTGGTTACTGAAGTATGTTAATTCTACTATTGATTATGGTCTTATTTATAAACACAGAACTAATCACTTGATCTTGGAAGGTTTTGTGGACTCTGATTTTGCAGGTGACAAGGACAGGAGGAGATCTACACCATCATACATGATGACTTTAGATGGAAATTGCATAAGTTGAAAGTCTCAACATCAACCAATGGTAGCATTATCAAGTACAGAGGTAGAATACATTGCTGGAACAGAAGGTTTTAAAGAAGCAATGTGGTTACAAGGACTGCTAAAGGAGTTAAAGGGGCCGATAACCATTTACTCAGATAGTCAATCAGCAATTCATTTGTGTAAGAATCCAGTCCATCATGAAAAGACCAAGCACATCGATGTGAGACATAATTTCATCAGAGAGAATGTGGAAGAAGGAGTAGTTCTACTGGAGAAGATTGACACAGAGGACAATCCATCAGATATGGCTACTAGGGTGATCAATGCTGGCAAGCTCCAGAAGTGTTTGGACTTTCTAGGCATTGGAAAGACTTGAATTGTCAAGTCTGAGCAATGACATATGCAGAAGAATTTATAACTCAAAAACAATGTCGCTCTTTTGAGATTAAGGTGGAATTTTGTAAGGTTAATCTCATAAAAATGACATTCACAGAGAAGGAATTCCTACACTCTAAAACACATGTCGTTTTGGGGCAACTAAAGGTTTGATTTGTAGATTTGGATATTTAATAGCTTCAGCCAATCAAAATAGTACACGTGGCAAGACTATTATCTTGTTGACCATTTTATTATATATTGGTTTTAGAAGGCTTTGGAACCTTGATTTGCTCTTTCTTCTTCACGGTGAATTAAAGAAAGACAAAGGGAGAAATATTCTTCTGAGAGAGATTTAGTGAGAGAAACTCTAGGGATTTCTAGAGAGAGAAATTGTAAGCTTGGGAACAAGGGGATATGGGAGTTTTTGGGTTTGTTCTTCCACTGGGAATTCATCTTGTTATTCGCTTAGTTTCTTCTCTTGGGTGTGGGTTTCTGTAATTGGGGAAATCTTTGTGTTGTGAGGAATTGATGGTGTAATCTTTCTCTGATTAGTGGATAGAGTTTTTCTGCGGAAGAGCTCAACGGGGATGTAGAAATTTTATTCCGAACCTCGGTAAAATAAATCTTCTGTGTTCATACTGTTTTTAGTTTTATTGTTTCTTGCAATTCCGGCGAGTTGGTGTTGGAATCGCTCCAACAGTTATGTTGGTATTTTCAAGAATTGAATAGCTTCAAATATTTCGTGGCATATTTTACAATCATAAAGTATACTTTTCGTATCATAAAAGTGCGAAAGTGGTATTTTTAATTCTAATATATTACTCTCTAAACTTCTATATTTGGCAGTTTTGTCCCATAAAACTTACATTAATGAGAATTTCTGAAATTTGACATAAATAATCGCATAAATGTGGCATAATAATTGAAAATTCTACATAAATAGTTACACTAAATGCAAAAGGTTCTAATTTCAATAGTTTTAACAGTTTTAAAAAGAACATTCCGCACATGATATAACTACTTTTGTTAATTTCAAGTTATGGCAGAATATATGGACCAATGATTACATCTATTAAATTTCTAAAAATGCTTCCTTGATTCTAATATTAGGACGAAAACTATGAGGAAAACAAAATTTTGAGGAGAAGCTTATAAAATTAAAAGTTCATAACTAAAGTGTTACAATGCTCATATTTTGGGAACTAACAATGTTAAATAACCCTAAAAATTTAAGAATAAAATAAATGGAAGAAAATAACAGAACGTTTTATTTTGGTTAGGCAATATGTCTATATACATGGACTAGGAATTAAAAGAAGGAATTCACTACTAAAGAGCACTATTAATGACTATATATAAATACAAATCTGTGGATATCTCTTAAAAATATAAATACACTTAAGCGCCTTTCTGTAATAAAAGGAAGAAGATAACATAACGTTTTATTCTGGTTCGATTTTAGTGATTTTTTTTTTTTAAGAAATAAATGACCATACTTTTCCAAAATTAATGAAATCGCCGCTCCTAATAACTAATTATGCAACCAAAAAATAAAAAATGAGCTTCCATTCCGTCACATGAAATTAAAGGGAATACTGCTCTACAACAAAGAAAGGGGTAATTTTGAGGTACTACAAATAGAAATTAAGGCCCCGTTTATTTCACTGATTCGAGTTTAAAATTTGAGTTTTGTTATAGGCAAAAACTCTCACAAACAGTTACATCTAACTTTTTTACTACAGTAAAAAGCTCTCACATAAAATTACATCTCAACTCGAATTAAAAACTCAAATCAACGAACTAAACGAGTCCTAAAAAACCGGCCATATCTCTAATTTTGTAAAAGTGTGACCATATGTATTTTGCGCTAGGGGGCTTATCATACTTTATAAGCCAATTTCTTTATCACGTTCGTCATTTTTCTAGTTACCCTCACCTTCTTAAATTATGTTTATTCTTTTCACTTACTACGGATTTTTTTCCCCTTTTCATTTTTCTTTTGTTATCACTTCAATTGTAATTTTCCTTTTATTCTTCTTGTTGGCCTTAAAAGAATCGTTTCTCTCCTATTGTTGTTGTTTTTGTTTTTCATCGTTTTGACCTTCTTTACCCTCGCTGTTAACCTTTCCATTGTTGATTTTATTTTACTGCCGTTTTCGATTTGTTGTCATTTTCTTTTTGCGTTATATCGAAATATGCATTTGGTATCATATGTTTTTTTTTATAATTTCATGCGAGTACCTTTATGTTTTTTTTAAAAAAAATCTCTTTTTAATACCCTGAGGCTCTCTTCTAGGACGTAAAATGCCATTTATGTTCTTATTCTTGATATGTTATGAATTTATTAAAAATATATGTTTTAAAAAAATCATAAAATAGAAAAAAAAAACTCCATCTCTCTCCTCTCTCTCTCTCTTCTGCAACAAATCTCTCGTTTGGGAATACGCACATATTATATAGAGATTATCTTAATTACCGCTAAAAAAAAAAAAACTCAGCTCATAAAACTCATACACAACACAAACCAGAAAGCAAAACCAACAACAATATACTCGTAGATCTTCAAAATCACAGACCAAATAGCAATAAAGTCAGCAAATTGCAGATCTAAAGTTATTTGTCTCCGTTCCCCTTTTATCTCTAACTTGCGGAACGTCTTGCTGCAGTCTTTTCATTACCGATTACGATTCTACCTACAAATGTTGTCGTTTTCTTACGTTATTGTCGTTTTATCCTATGTTTTCGTTCCCATGTCCTTTTTTTTTTTTTGCCTTCTAATTTTGCCGTTGTCAATATCGTACTATTCTATTTTAATGAAATTTTCACCCATATACATATACTTTATTCTAAAGAGCACTATTATATCAAAATCATATGCAAGGAATCCCAATTCTTCAAAATATTACATGCGAAGAACATGGAACAATATGGCATGGTTAGTTTTTCGAATCGTCATGCTGAAACATTGGGCCACAGATGTGGATATCTCTTTCATTCAGAGGCTGCAACGGCCTTGCATTCATCTCTGCGTGCTGTATTAAAAATTGCATCATTACAACTTTGGCTCAACGGAATTAAAACCTTTTTTTTTTTTCAATAATAAATAATAATAATTATAGAAAAAAAAGAAGTACTAATCAAACAGTTATCCACTTACATCATGAACAGCTTCTCTAAGTAGGCTCACTTGTTCTCTTGAAACAGTGCTTATCTAAAGACAATTCAAGATCAGAGTCAAAATCACAAATAAGGAAAATTATATAGAATTAAAGAAAATTGATTAAGTCTAAATGATATATATATATATATATATATATAATGTGTGTATATTTTATATACCCTTTTGTTCATAGTCCAAATAACTCCTTCAGTACAAGGCGGAATTGTGAGTGAGCCAATGTATCGGTAGTACTTCAAACCACCCATTTTGAGCTCTCTTGGATCAATCACTCCTTTGTGTACCTCCTGCTTTGTGTCGGTTATAGACACCATATCTTTGGTAAACTGAAAGTAACCAATAATATTTCAGTCCAAGCAGAGAAAAAAAAAAAAAAAGGGAAAATCAATTATATTTGTCCCTTTTTTTTTCTAAACAATAATATGTATATTCATGAGTTTATTTAAAGGGTTTCTTCTTCTTCTTCTTCTTTATTTTTATTTTTATTTTTTATATATACCTTGGAGAGAAAACGATCAGGCTTTCCAAACTTGTACAACATTGCAATTACAGCGATTCTCCTTTCTATCTTAACATCAGGGCTTGAGTGAACTATGTGGAGCTCCAAGTCAAGCCTAATAGTAATATATAATCAACAAAGACGACTTTAGCATGAAGACATTTTACCATTATTGTTTGCTAACTGACCAGTACTTTACAGTTTCTTCTTATTAATTAAATCATATTTTATATAACTTCCTTGAGTTGACTAGTTTAGGGATTTTTTTATTTTTTTATTTTTAGCCTCATAGCAGTACTCACAACTGTAAATAATGGCAAAACAAAAAATTTAGAGCCCGGTAAAAGGATTCGTTTCCTAATTCGAATCATGATTCGTGGTTCGTTACAGTATTTTCTCTCACAAAAAATACACGTAAATCAAAAATAATTTTAATCACATGGTTCTAATCTATAAACCAAACGGGCTCTTATAGTTTACAATAATAACACTCACTATCATACAAGTTTACAATTTTGTATATTGCAAAGATAAGTAAAATATCTATATATATATATAGATATATACTATTATTATTTTAGTTTAAAATTTTGGTTTGATTCACGTCCTTTAAAAAACTTTTCTTGGCTCGGCCACTGAACATAAGAAGAGAAATTAGGTGATAAAGACCTCCTGCCATTGATGGAGTGCTCAGAAGGTGAGTGCCAGTGACATTGTTGAAGGAAGTAATCGGTGCCGTTGATCTGAATTGATCCAGCATCATCGAGCCATACAATCTTGCATCAAAAGTATGTGTTGGCTTAGCAGGCTTGCAAAACATCTTAAGCTTCTGAACAAATTCTTAGAAAGAGGAGGGGGAAAAAAAAAGGGAACAAAAACAAAAACAAAAGAAAGAAGTAATTGGATTTTCTCACCGAAATATCATGACCTCTATTCTTGATAGTAGCATTAGCAGGCTTATAATTCATCTTAATGTCTCCCAACTTTGGAATGACTTTGACCCTGTGATTCAACAGATCAATCGGTGACTGCAATTTTCCATGTTTGCACGCCTTCCATTCTTTCTTAAGCTCTCCCCAATGACGTGGTCCCTTCTCACTCTCTTGCATGTAATCAAAATCTCTCTCATCCTCTGCAACGAAATCAAAATACCATCATCAGATTAAGATATAACAAACATATATATATATATATATATATATATATATATATATGCCTGTATAAATGAATTCAATAATTAGGTGATCTTGAGATTACCAACTTCTTGAGCTGAAATGGGTGTTTGTTGTAAGAGTGAGTAAAAGAAAAGTAGGAGCAAAAACCATGAGGTGAAGACAAGTTTGATTTGAATCTTCATTAATGAAACCTTACAGCCTTAGTACTGCTGTTATTTGTTTGGTGCACCGAAAGATCTCCCGAAATGGGTTTATAGAATTGTCTTAGTACTAAGATAATGATGACCAGCAAAGAATTACGTGTACTTAATTATGACATAAACGTAAATCAGAACTTTTCTTTTTGGTCAATGTTATAACGTATCATTTAGCAATTAGATCAAATGTCGTTAATGATAGATGCCCTAGGTATTATTATTGGAATGAAATCACGCTTGTCTGTTGCTAACATAAGTCTCTTAGGCTCTGTTTAAAAGCATTTTTGTTTTTTATTTTTTTAAACAAAAAGGCAAAAACATTTCTTCTTGTTTTTGTTTTTCAATTTTTTCAAACAGAAAATATGTTTGGTAATCACCATTTATCTTCTATTTTTAAAAATAAAAAACAAAAAACACATAGGTTTTGCACAAAACAAGTAAAGATTTCTCCATTTTCTTAATTTCTATTTTATAGGCTGAAAATTTATTTTGAGATTTGACTTGCATTTTTTTAGTTCGTAGATGTTAAAGAAGTAGATCCCCAATTCTAGTTACCGAGAGTAATAAAAACGCAATAAAAGAAATAAAGTAAAATCAACGTATAAAATTTATAGAGATTTGTCTCAATTGAGACTGTCTTCTTTTAATCACTGCAATTTTCCCACTAAGATAAAAAAGAAGAAATTACAAGAAAAAAATCGCACATCTCTCAACTTTTTTTACGTCTCTAATAATATCTCATAAACGGGATAACTTTCATAGTCTTATGTGTAATGTAGGCCTCGTTTACTTTGTAAATTTGAGTTTTTAATTTGAGTTGAGATGTAATATTTTCTGAGAGCTTTTTACTATAACAGAAAAAGTTAGATGCGATATTTTTTAAAAATTTTTTACTGTAAAAACTCTAAAATTAAAAATTTAAATCAGTGAAGTGAACAAGACTTATAATAAATCGTGAAGGTAATTAATTTATCTCTACAACTTAATAATAGATTGATATAATAATGATGTGTCAAATCGAGTAGATGGTACGGGTTTTTGGAGTCAACTATCAGCGCTGTACGAAGAGTACTCCTGCACTTTGAAACGACTAGGAGAAGAAAACGACAAAAGGGCCAATGTGCTATACGGCAGGAGTCCTATCACTGTGTAAATATATAGGTTAATCGCAGATGACATTTTCCACCATTAATTGTATTATTGATAACGATAGAAACTAATTTAATCCAAATAATTAGTCTAGAACATGTTTAACTTTGAATTTTGTTGTCTAGATGATGCACATGTAAGGGATGACAACTTGTACTTAGTACGGATGAAAATGGATTATAGTTGACTCTCAAGATAATTAAATAAGTAAATGATCATGGAACATGCACTTGAAAGAAAAAAAAAAAAACCACAAGAATACACATTAAATTAGGAGCTTTATGTGGCAAGAAATACCCATTATACTGCATGTTATTTTACATTAGATCTAATCAAAATTACATCAAAATAAAGAAGTATATAAAACTAATTTGATATAGATCTCACCTTTTAAAACAAAACTCTATTATAGGTATTTTTGTACGTAAAATTTCATTTAAATTAAGGAGAGCTCTAATGTCGGTATGAAAATATTACCCCACGAATAAGGCTCTATTTTACATCATCAAATTTATCTTTTTTTTGTATTTTTTTTAATTATTATATTTTGATATGATTTTGACAGATGAAATGTTGAGCTTCATGAATCAAGTTATCAGGAACCTTTCTACACTTTGTGATTGTTATTTTCGCATTTTTTTAGTATGTCATCGTTTGAAAATGATTTTACCCTATTCATGGTTGTTTTACGTTTTAATGTTTCTGTCCTTTTCGCTCCTTTGTCGTTTGTCTCTTTCTAATTGTCTCTTGTCGTTAACTTTTTTTAGTAATCGTTATCGTTGTTTTTTCAATTGATTGGACTTTCATATATATATATATATATATATATATATTAGATCATATATATAAATATATATATTTTTATATTTTAGATTAGTGTTTTGTATTTGTTGTCTTTGTCCATTTATTGCCGTGTTTTTCTTGTTCTTTCAATTTTAATTTTTTGTATGGAAAAAAATTAAAGAAGAATAGCTATTAAACAACGATTTTAGTTTTTTTTAGAGATATTGCTAAATTTTTTAGCTCCATCTCTGTGAGTGTGAAAATGCATATCACTATAGCTCGTTTGGTTCATGGATTAGAACCATGAGATTAAAATTATTTTTGATTTACGTGTATTTTTTGTGAGAGAAAATATTGTAGCGAACCATGAACCATGATTCGAATCAGAGAATGAATCCTCTAACCAAACAGGCTAAAGAAAGATGACAGAGAGTTTACCGAAGTAGGCGACCTCGTTTATAAATTAGGGTGTTGTTTTATTTCCTGATATCTGTTTCTATATGTATAGTTTCTATCAGTATATCTCGTTTTCCGTTTTTGTTTCGTTTTCTATCTAAAATGATTTTATTGTTATTATTATTTAGTCGCTTATCACTTATTGTTGTTGTTTTTCATTTATTGCCTTTGATTTGTTGGGTATTATATATTTTTTTCAAATAGGTAGTTATTGTTGTTTTCTAAAGTTTATGTATGAGCGAAATTTCATTCAACACTTATCCAACATTCTTAAACTAATAATTTGGATTGAATAAGCAAATAATCTAAGAAAATTAGAAGAATACTCAAAGAACACTATTAACCTCAAGAAAGAAATAAGAGCAAAGTGAAGACAATTAGGCAATTGTATTGGAGAATTGAGTGTTTCTTTTATCGCTAATCAATTAATATTGTCGTTTATGATATAAAATTGTCGTTTTCTTGTCTTTATTTTACAGTTTATTTGTTTGTTTTTCCCTTTATTTCTGTTACAACGAATAGACTATTCTAGAATAAGTTTGTTTTGCTGAGGTGTACAATTTTGTTACATCGATTTGTGTAAGCAGAGAATTCTGTTAGGAAAGGATTCCTCCTCTGCTATATATGTATGTTGTACTCTTGAGTATTATTCAGTGAATGAAAGAGAATGTTTTCTCTCTTCTTCCTCAACACTATTTCGTAAACTGGTATCAGAGCATTTTTGCTATCCCTGCTGTATTTAGTCTCTGAGTATGGCTCGTTGAGGTCAACAAAACAACGCCAATCGTTTCCAGGCTTTGACTCCACCTTCTTCATCTAGCACCGTGGATCAACATGATCCGACCTCCATGGACGGAGCGAACAGTCCATATTTTCTCCATAGTGGAGATCATCTTGGCCTCATCTTGGTGTCTCACTGGCCTTAATTACAACACTTGGAGCAGAGCTATGTTCATGGCCCTCAATGCCAAACACAAGCTCGGTTTCCTTGATGGATCTATTCTAAAACCACCGGCTGAAGCACCTCTTGCTGGGATTTGGTCTCATTGCAACAGTATGGTAATTTCGTGGCTACTCAACTCTGTTTCGAAGGATATTGCAGATAGTCTTCTGTATTTGGACACTACTTAAGCTATTTGGACAAATTTGCACGAGAGATTTCATCAAAGCAATGCGCCACGTATTTTTCAAATTAAGCAGCAGCTACAAGGGTTATGTCAAGGCTCTTTAGACATCAACACCTACTATACATGCCTGAAGATTTTGTGGGATGAACTCAAGCATTACCAGCCTATTCCGGTCTGCCGCTGTGGAGGTATGAAAGCTTGGCTTGACTATCAACAGCAAGAATATGTTATGCAATTTCTAATGGGCTTGAATGAGTCGTATGGAACAATCAGAGGACATATTTTGCTAAATGATCCTCTGCCTTCCATTTTAAAAGTTTTCAATCTTATTGTTCAGGAGGAGAGACAGCGTACAATCGGCACTGGATCTACTGGTCCAGCCAATCCTTTAGCATTTCAGGCCTCATCATCGAGTCCCCTCATTGCTGCTTCACTGTCGGCTCACCCTGTGGCGGTTGTGTCTTCCTCAAATAGACCCATAAGGGATCGGCCTGTTTGTACGCACTGTGGGCTAGCTAGACACATCATGGATAAATGCTACAGACTGCACGGGTATCCTCCTAGATTCAAGTCCAAGTCCAAGGCCCATTTCACACAAACGGCCCAATCACCCTCAGTGGGCTCCCTTCAATCCAGCTCATATCAACATAGGGTTTTTAATGACCGACATCAGATCTCATATCCTCAGATTTCACCTTCAGCCGCAGCGGCGATGAGCTCGCCTCCACCAAATGGTCAGTTGAGCACCGATCAAGTCCAGCAGCTAATTGCCTACCTGAGCTCGCAATTTCATCATCGCAAGATCGCCACTCCTGACACTCAAACAGATGAAGTTCCTTCACTCCCTAATCCCTCAGTTTCTCAAATCTATGGTAACTCATTTTTCATTTCTTCCCTTTCATCTCTTTCCATTCCGTTTGGCACATGGGTTATAGATACTGGTGCAAGCCATCATGTTTGCTGTGATTTGTCTATGTTTTCTCATTCAGTTCCAATCCAAAATACCACTGTTACATTACCCAACGGTCACACTGTAACAATCGAGCGCACAAGCTCTGTGAAATTGTCCAAATTCTTGATATTACATGATGTGCTCTTTGTTCCATTGTTTGCCTTTAACTTACTCAGTGTCAGTGCACTCACACTCAGCCATAACTGTAGTGTTAATTTTATTTCCAATTCGTGTGTTATCTAGGACCTCACTCAGGGCTTGATGATTGGGAGGGGTAGAAGACAAAGAAATCTGTATTTTCTAGATTTAGGAGTTGTTTATTGTAATTCATTTTCTTCAGCCTATGTGGCAAGCAAAAGTGATATTTGGCATTATAGATTAGGACATCCCTCTGCTGTAAAACTTTAGTTGCTTCATAATGAATTACAAATTTCTAACCCCTTGTCTACATTGTCTTCACATTGTCGAATTTGTCATTTGGCTAAGCAAAAATGACTTCCATTCATTTCAAACAATCA